TATTCTCCTCTCTACCCTTCTAACTTTCTCTTCTGGATTAAAAAGGTGCCTCCCACGTTTCACGTACAATTTCATTTTCAAGTCTTTTTTTTTTTTCATTGCTCTTTGAACTGTCATAGCTGAAACTCCTCTCTTACCTGCCAAACCTCTCATGGATTGTGTTGGATATTTTGTAATTGATCTCTTTAGCACAAAGTTGAAATGCTGATCATTCTTTCTGTTGTTACCACATGAAAAACTTTTCCTCTACTGTTTCATCTTTTTAAAACTCATTCAGCTTTCTCTCAATGGTACCTGAATAAACTTTAAAAGTATGAATTTTGGTACCATTACTAATTGCCTGAATGATATTTTTCCTCAGTTGAGAAGACATTGGATTTGACACAAAACGATTTTAACCTGTTCTCTTTCTAGTTGAATAACTTAACGGGTTTTTCAGTGATTCTCGTGAGAAATGGTTTCAAGATAGCTAAACGTCTTATCTGAAAACCTAGCAAAAAGAAACTTAATTAGATTAGTGTTTTTTAGATATTAGATATTTTGTGTAATGGACAATTATGCTGTAAAACGATTTGGATAATTTTTTGTTACACCCAGTATATATATATATATATATATATATATATATATATATATATATATATACTGGGTGTAACAGCAAAATAGAGAGAGAGAGAGAGATAGAGCGAGCGAACGAGCTGAGAGAGCAGAGAATGAGAGAAAAGAGAGAGAGAGAGAGAGAGAGAGAGAGCAGTGTCGATGATTAATAGTTTTGGTTTTGGATCGTTAATATTAAGAAGACATTCGTTTTTGAGATCAGCTGCCAAATTGACATCATGTAACAAAGAAGAACAAACTTTCAGGTATTATATCAGAATTTTCCATCTAGTTGGGTAACGTACCGAAGGTTAAAGACTCCAAAATTCTCAGGAGTTATACCGGGTGCCAGGAAAGTATACGGTTAATTCTACATCTCTGCACCTGTATCAGATGGCTTTTGATTCCATGAAAGAATACATCTTCCCTTTGATAAATCATTTTGTTTTCAATACTGCTGCTTGTCTAGCCACAAAAAAAAACACCTGGTAATGTGTTGAGATGTTGTGAGTTTCCCGCGTGTCGGTGTATGAATCAAGACAAACACAGTTGTAGAGGAAAATACTGGTATATTCATAAAAGCAATTAACAATAGAGTGATTAGTAGAACGAAGGTTGGTTAGTACGAAACAATATCCAAAGTCTATAGTCCAATGGTATGTACCGGGTAAGCTTATCTGGACTGCTGACGCTCTCCCGTCCTCTCTCTAGAGCTGACTTATATAAGTGGGACCAGTCCATTTCTAGTTAGAAGGTGGGTGGAACCGGTTTAGTCATTGATAACTCGAATATACTGTAGAGAGTACTCGTTATATAATACGTGTAACATTCAAACAATATGACTTGAACATTTATATACATACATACATACATACACATACACACACACATATATATATATATATATATATATTAATTAATTTAAAATATGTTTTTTTTTCGCTACACAGTTCTAACCATGTTTCAAAAAGGGAAGCTAAAAGCTCCGAATTTAATTTTGTAATTAAATTAAAGACATTAGTTCCATTTCATCCTCAAGCGAATTTTGGAGTAACTTTTAAAATTACTGGGTTTTAAAGACACAGCTAAAATCATAATTCAAGTTTCCAAGGTTACAGATAAATCCACTTCCACTAGACAAGGGGTGTCTGCGTGTTCATTAAATGTTTAGCCAGCAAATTTTCTTTTAGGCATGGCTGATTAGATGAATTACAGACATTATGCCTGCTTATTTTTAGTATAATCCTTTCATATTCACAAATATTATTCAGTGAATTACAATCAAACGAGGCAATAAATGCACTGTAACAGTGAAAATCATTTTTATTTCCCAAATAATTTTCATCTCTTTCTGAGATCATCATATCGTTTTGGCCTTGCAAGTTGGTCCTCTGATAATATTTGGAATTTATTTAATCATATATATATATATATATATATATATATATATATAGAGAGAGAGAGAGAGAGAGATTGTAAGTGATAGACATTTTGTGGGGATTTGAATAATCATTTATGGTAATACATTGAGTCTAGAAGAAG